GGCCGGGTCCGCCTCGGCAGAGGGTACATGGTGCTCTGGCCCCCCGGGTGTGGGTTTCAGGGCCTCGCTGAGGGAAGGGGAGAAACCACTGGGGCCTGTCCGCCAATGGGCTGCCCCCGACCAATCTGCTGAGGGAAACCTGGAGGAGCCCCCGCCCGACCCCTGCACCCCGCCTTCAGGTGCGGCAGCGGATCGGCTACTGCCCCCAGTTTGACGCCCTGCTGGACCACATGACAGGCCGGGAGACGCTGGTCATGTATGCCCGGCTCCGGGGCATCCCCGAGCGCCACGTTGCCGCCTGTGTGGAGAACGCACTCCGCGGCCTGCTTCTGGAGCCGCACGCCGACAAGCTGGTCAGGACCTACAGGTGCGGCTGTGCTCGGCCCCGCCCCAAGCAGCGGGCACCTCCGTGTCCCGGGGTAGAGTTGGAGTCTCCCCTCCCACAAAGCTGGGGGCAGCCAGACGGGTCCAGGGCCTGATTTCCCACCCGCTGTTCCAGGATCAGATGGGGCTTCAGCGGCATGAGCCGGGCGGTGCAGGGTAAAGAGGGCCTGCGTGCCAGTTCCTGCCCCTGGGAGGCATGGCCAGGCCAGGGGGAGGTCAGGCCCCTCAGTTTCTGGTCAGCACAGATAGTGTTGCTGTCCTCTGTGTGGGTGTATACGTGACCCCCTCAGCATAGCTGTCCTTGGACCCCCCAAAACTACAAGGTGGGCTTTCCAGGCATGCTCCCCATTCCTGTTCACCCGGGTTGCTCTGGGATCCTGGGGCCCAGTCTGACGCTAGGACATGGGGAGCCCGTGCTAATTATGAGCCCTGCCCCCCGTGTTCCCCTCTGCTCCCAGCGGCGGCAACAAGCGGAAGCTGAGCGCGGCCGTCGCCCTGCTCGGAGAGCCTTTGGTCGTCTTCCTGGACGAGCCATCCACCGGCATGGACCCCGTGGCCCGGCGCCTGCTCTGGGACACCGTGGCCCGGGCCCGCGAGTCCGGCAAGGCCATCGTCATCACCTCCCACAGGTAGAGCCGGAGTCTCCGGGGGTCGGTGGAAGAGGCTGGCTGGGTGGGGCCGGGGGCACAGAAGACCTGGCAGCAGCTGGGTCGCAGCCCCTGAGGAACGCGCCCAGCCTCGCCATGCGGGCCCCTCTCTGAACGTGGGAATCAGGAGCGGTTCGATCTGGCGGTGGACACGGCCTCTCTGCGGGAGCCTCTGTCGCGGAAGGCGGGCGTCGGCATCCCCTGCCCCCCCGTCAGGCCTCCACCCCTCTCCCCAGCATGGAGGAATGCGAGGCCTTGTGCACCCGGCTGGCCATCATGGTGCAGGGTCAGTTCAAGTGCCTGGGCAGCCCCCAGCACCTCAAGAGCAAGTTCGGCAGCGGCTACTCCCTGCAGGCCAAGGTGCGGGGCGACGGGCAGCAGGAGGCGCTGGAGGAGTTCAAGGCGTTCGTGACCCTGACCTTCCCAGGTGAGGGCCACCACACAGAGGGACTCTGTGCCTCAGCCCTGCCGAGCCCCCCCACCCCTGTCCCTGACCCCTGGGATGAGGGCCGTGACTCCATGGTCCCAGGCCCTCCGGGGAACACGGTGTCCTCTCCGTGCAGGCAGCGTCCTGGAAGATGAGCACCAAGGGATGGTCCATTACCACCTGCCCGGGGATGACCTCAGCTGGGCCAAGGTGAGCGTGGGCCCTTCCAGCCTAGCTGGGGCTGAGTAAGGCCCTTCCAGCCATCGCTCCTTCTGTGGGGCTTCCAGGCTCCTTCCAAACAGGAGTCTCTTACAGTTCATACTCCAGCACGTATCCTAAAATTTGCCAGGTTCGGAGATTCATTTGAGCCAGAAAAAAAAATGGGTGCAAAAAGGAAACTGGCCCAGAGAGCGTGCCCAAGGTCGCCCTGTGAGCTGGGAAGATTCGGGGGATGCCTGGCCTCCGGGGCCGGCTCACAGTGCACAGCCCCCCACCTCTCCCCGGGAGCATGGCTCGCCCCATCAGGCCCACTCCCTGCAGTGGCCTGGGGCCCCATCTGGGGCAGGGCTAGGACCTCTGGGAGCCTTACCCCCACCCCCCGTGGCCACAGCACTCCCAGCCAGCACCCCCCGTCCCAGCTCCTGGGCTTGTTAAAGCTGTTTCCTTGCTCCCACAAGGTGTTCGGTGTCCTGGAGAAGGCCAAGGAGAAGTACGCCGTGGACGACTACTCCGTGAGCCAGATTTCCCTGGAGCAGGTCTTCCTGAGCTTTGCCTACCTGCAGCCGCCCGCCGAGGACGAGGGGCCCTGAGGAGCGGGCAGGCAGGCGCGTGGCCGCACAGGCGGGCGTCCTCCCCCTCCGAGTTCTTCTTATCCTGCACCTTTACTTCCAATCACCGTTTCTATAATGGACACGAGAATCAAGGCACAGTAGGGACCAGGGTGTCGGAGCCCTCACGCTGGCAATCAGCGTGCGGACATCCGTGCCCAGAGCAGTCGCTAAAGCCCCTCTCTGGAGTGCGGGACCCAGCACGAGCAGCCCAGCAGCCCGTGCAGGCGAACCTCGGGGTCTCTGGGCAGAGAGCCACTCGGGGAGGGGCTGCGGCCGACCTGGGGGTTGCACGAGGCGAGCACCAGCGACACCCCTCACCTGCACACGCACGGAGCCTCCTGTGGGGTGACGCAGGGAGCCAGCAGGACGGCGGGCAGTGGGGCTCACCAGGTTGCCCAGAACAGAGAGTAGGTCGCCTGAGGCCACCCAGGAGGGAGATGCTGGCTGTGACTAGGCTCCGTGGCCTTGGCTTCCGGGGGGCCTGGGAGTCGCTGCTCTACGAGCGTGCGCTCGAGGCCGGGCAGGGCTGACCCTGCACCCGGCGCCATCACACCAGCATCTTCCAGGGTTCATGGGCTCGGAGAGAGAAGGCAGTCCTTCCTGCCCGAGACTAGCTTCTGGAGAAGCCACCAGTGCAAAGCCAATTGGGGACCACCGCGGGACCGAGGGACCATCTATGGAGGATGCACCTGACACATGGTGACTCTGTCCAGAAAATAAAGTCCGGGAGGGAACACGACTGCGGTCTGTATTGCGGGACTTCCAACACTCACTGCCAGTAGGTCTGGCAGCCAGACCCGCAGGGACCAGAGTGGGTTAGACAGACCCCCACCAGGTCGGCCATCTCTACCAGGAGGTACAAGCCCAGGGTCAGGGTGAGTGGGGCCGACCCGGTGGGGTGGGAGACCTCTGGCCCTGGGGCCACTCTCAGCTTTAGGCAGAAGAGCCTTCTGCATCAGCTCCCTCCCTGTTTATGTATCCTTATTTCTGACAGTTTTTAGAGTTTTAAATTTATTTGAGATCGACAGAGTGAGTGTGCGCACAGTGGGAAAGGGAGAAGCAGGCTCCCACGGAGCAGGGAGCCCGACGCGGGACTCGACCCCAGGACCCTGGGATCATGACCTGACCTGAAGGCAGACTTCACTGACTGAGCCACCCAAGCACCCCATTTCTCAGTTTCCTAAATTTCCATGATTTTAATCTCTGCTGTGTATATTCTCTTAGAATTCATAGTTTCAGAGACTTGTCCTATCACTTTGTTCTCTAGGACAGTCTCGTGCTTTTTATCAGCCTCTCTGAGCTCAGGAACACCGCAGGCTCCAGGAACTGTCTCTTCGCTTTAGAATTCCTTACCCCCTCATACTCTAGTTTCACGTTATAAAACATAAGCCCGGGGGTGGCTGGGGTCCTAGACTTGCCCCAGGGGAAGCATCTTCTAGGAAGTGGTCCCCATGGAGTTGGTCAGGCCCCCTGGGGCCAGGGGTGGGGGGGCACAAGCAGTGGCCCTACTGCTTGCTTTTAAGCCTGTGTTAGAGATTTAGAAAATTGGCCTTTTCTTCCTTTGAGGGCATGAGGAAAGGCATTCGAGACTGAAGGAATGGCACCTGCGAGGCAAACCCCCACTGCAGTCAGCTTGCGTTGGTCCAGAGAGAGGTGGTTCATCTGACAGGGGCCCAAGAGGGAGATGAGGGCTGCAGAGACCGGTAGGAGGAAAAGTGGCCGTGGTCCTGATCAGGCCCTTCTTAGGAAGACCACCAGTGCTTGGGGAGAGGGCAGGGCAAGGCCGAGCTGCTGCCGTGGGGACCCGAGGGGCCAGGGTGCCGCAGTCAGCGAGAGCCCGCAGGGCCCGGGGTGTCTGTGGGAGGAGCACGGAGCTGGGGCAACAGCAGTCAGGCAGAGGGGACCCCAGGCACAGCAGGAAGGGACATCCCCAGGTCATCTGCAAGGCTGCCGGACACCAAGCACAGGAGCTGAAAATCCTTGAGGAGCCAGGAGTGGGGCCTGAACCCCCTCCTCCCCAAGCCTAGCTGGCTTGGTTTGAGCTGAGGCAGCTCCTGGCCCAGCGGAGATGGGGAAAGAGCCACAGGCACACAATTGACCTGCTTCACCCCCCATCCCCAGCCCGCCCTTCTCCCCCACAATCCTTGGGGCCAGAGGGTCCCCGGAGAGGGAGAGTTCAGACCCAAACAGCTGCTGTGTCTGCTGGACTCCTGCCCCGCCCCCGCAGCAGTCAGCAGACCCCAAAGCCAAGGTCATGCCTTCCCTGCCCCATGTGGCATTGGGTGGGGGAATGCTGACACCCACACGAGAGGAGAGTAGGTCTGTGGAAAGCCCAGCCCCATCCAACAGTGTGCCTCAACCAAACCACACATAGTGGGCTTGGGGACGGCCCCTCAGCATGACAGTGGTGCACAGAATGTGGCCTGGCAAGGGAGGAGGGGGCAGATCCTGCTGGATGCAGGCCTCAGGCTGAGCCCCTCCACTGCCTTCCCCATGGGGATCACCAGGTAGTAGGCAGCGGGTTGGGGGGTCCCCACCCTGTCCACAGAAACAGCTCCCATGGGAAGCAGGCTGTGGCAGGCTGGTGGCCCACACCAGAAGGCCCAGCCCCAGGTTTAGGAAAAAACGTATTTATTTCTCTGCCAAGTACAAAGTCCAGAGACGGCGGTCTGGAGAGTTCATCACCATCTGCGCCAAGTGGAGGCTCCCTCCTCAAAGTCCTTTCAGGGTCAAGGTGTCCCCGAGGCTCCAGGTGAAATTGGCAGGAAGCAGGAAGAGCAGGAAGGCGCAGCTCCTGGAAGTCACGTGGGCTGTCCACGGTGCCCACACACAGGCGTGGCTGCGCCAGGGGCAGGGAGCTGGGACGCACCATCTCGTATTTAGTTGGGGAACCCAGATAGAAGTCAGGACACAACCCCAGCCTCCACCAGCCTCCACCAGGACTGCAGTGCGCAGGCTGGCATCCGGGGGGGGCGGACACCTGACATGCCCTTGTTGCCCACCCAAGCTGCTGAGCGCCCACCTCACTCAGGAAGCCCCACAGCGCAGCGGAAGTGACCCACCCCTGCCCCCCGAGGAGTGTCGGGGCCCTTTGGCTGCAACGGCACAGGCCAACTGGAGTGTTCCGCCGGGCAAATGCCAATCCCAGGTATTCAGGGCAGGACTCCGGGAGCCGCGGTCAGCCGTGTCTCGGGGACCCTCAGCCCAGTCTGACAAAGCAGCTGACAGGACTAAGGCTGACAGAGGAGTGAGCCAAGGCCAGCACCCAGAAGGAAGGCTGGAAGGTTGCTCCAAAGGTGGCCACAAGCTGCCTGGGGATGCCGATACACCCCAGCGGGCCCAGCCTGCCTGGCCCGGACCCACGTGAGCCCAGGCTGAAGTTCGTCAATTCCCTGACCACATAGGGATGGCAATGTCCCGACACCCCAGACCTGATGCCTGCAGGGCCGGCGCCCGGAGACGAGAGGCGAGAGTTCCAAGAGACCGGCAGCCACACCGCCTGCCAGGGCAACTTGGCTGCTGCGTCTACAGGCACACCACAGCAGCTGCCGTTTCAGCTCCCTTCTGTGGACCAGCATGACACTGATGGGGTAAGCCGGCTGGGTCCTCTGAGAGCCCCAGTCCCACGCAGACTGGTCAGTGTGAAGGGAGGGCCACCTGGGCTCACCCAGAGCCTGTGGCCACACCAAAAGCCCGAGCCTCACCTGCACACACAGGTGCATTCCTGGGTAGACAGCCTGGGCTCCACCTGGGCCCAGAGGGGCTAACCCCCACCGGCTCCTGCAACAGGAGGCAGTCCACAGAAGTCCTAAGAGGTCCCCCAAACACCAAGGTCAGGATAGGCTGCTCACGCCACCCCGCAGCAAAGGCCAGCAGGCCACGTAGGATACCCCACTCTCCAGACACGAGGCCCCTTCCAGCAACCCCGGCTCAGGCCCACTCCAAAGCCTGGAAGGTTCGACTCCCTTTCCCAAAGGAGGGCAAAGCCACTGGCTTTCCTGCACAAGAGGACTCAGGGCAGGTGGGCCGAGAGGCTACCCGAGAAGGGGCAACAAGGCAGAGGTCTCGGCCCCCACAGCCCTTCAGAAGAGCACCAGGAAGCAGGGTGTCAGGGCCTGGGGTTCCATCCCTGCCGGATAGGACCATATGGCCTGGGCCTCAAGCAGGCACGAGGAGGAGCTGAAGATACAGGGTCGGGCCCGGGGAGCGGGGGCCCTGCCTTCCTTCCTCAACACACAGGGCTGCTCAGGCCCCGCTCCTGGGCCAGGCCTACGCCCCACAGATGCTGGCGTCAGATGCCTCCAAGGCTGGAGACGCTCCAAGTCAACGGGCTGTGGATGGCGCGACGGAGGCCCTGGGAGCAGGGCTGGGGGCCAAGATGGCTTCGCTGCAGCGAACGCCGCCACACACCCTCACTGCACCCCGGGCTGCAGCACTCCAGCCTGCCTGCTTTGTATCCAGCTCTGGCTGGGCCCCACCCCGTCCCCTGTGACACGCCCCCCCCAGCTCCGGTGTCCCTATCCTTGACTTCCCTGGGGCAGAAATGAACACAGGGCTTCGGGCATGAAAACCAGCACAAGCCCCCAAGCTCACTGCTCAGGAGCGCCTGGGGGAGTCCGGAGTTTAGGACAGAGCTCAGGACTGGACACCCCACACCTTGGAGACACAAGCCTAGAACTGCAAAGACCTCCCCACAACTCCAGACGCTCAGTGGTGGTCTGGCCCTTTAAGGCCCAGCCTGGCCACCCAGAGGGACCAGCCAGAGCCCCTTGCTGGGCTCCTCCAGGGGAGGCAGGCACTAATGCGCTCAACCACACATAAAGGGGCCAGGCCTTGGCGATCCAGCCCCTCTTCTAATGCCTCCCTCAAGGTCACCAAGCCATCACCAGCTCCCTGACCCCACCCAAACAGCTCGGCTCTACGGCACCTGGCGGGGCCACCTTGCCCCTAGAGTGGCGACTATTAGCAATAGATTAAAAAAGAGCCTTCTTGACATGGTTTACAATGGAATGCAAGGCCTGGACGGCCCACCATGACCTCCAGCACAATCCAGGATACCACTAAACCCTGTGTCCCAGGTGACCAGCCTCCAAGGAGAGGCACTGCAGAAACCATCAGGCCCATAGAGAATGAAGGCAGAGGGGACATTCTGATTCAAAAGTGAGAGCAGCCCCACATGCCAACAAGTGGCCCTCAACCCTGGGAGGGAAGTGAGGGGCTCAGGACACTGGCAGAACCAGGCCTGGGGCTGGCTGCCGGACACCCTGTCTGTAGGAGCCCTGCCCCACCCCTGCCATCATACCTGGACCAAAGACCTTCAAAGGTCCCCAAGGACCCAGCATCCCAGCCCTGAGCCCCCAGAGCCTTAGTAGATTGGCACAGGGGTAAAAGAAGGGGAAGCCAGAACTCCTGGAAGGCAGGGGCCGGGGGCCACCAGTTTTAACTTCTTATGTTTCTTCCAAACACATTCTGCTGATCTTCAAAATGCCAAAAGACAAGATGCTCAAGTTTTAACGTTCAACAGCTGATAACACACTTGATAACAAAAACTTATAATATTTAGAAACAAATGTGATTGAACTTCTGTGTCTGAATAAATCATGCTTTAGATTTAACATAAAACGTGTTAAAATTTATATGCGTGCCAAGTTATATCACTTTAGCACGTTTTTAAAAAAGCACAGGCAGTTGTCAGCCCAGCTGGTGGTGTCTCCACCACCCTCTCGCCATGGTGGGGTCACTGGCCTGCTTCCTCCCCACCAGACCACGTTGGTGCGCCCTGGGCAAAGGCTCTGCTGGGTCAAGACCCTTCAAGCAAGCATCTTGCAGACAGCATCTGCAGCCCCATCCCTCCATCCCTGGTCACTAAGCGGCAATCCGGACATTCCTGTCCTTGCCCTTGGCAGCTAATCCATCTCCAAATCACAGGGCTTCCTCCCTCCAAAAGAGATCCGCTCTCCAGACGCTCTCTTCTCTTCCTGGATGCACCTACCTGTTCGAACAACGTCTGGGGCGGGGTGCCCCTTCCTTCCACTGAGCCACCGAGTAACGACCGCTCGCCAGACACGGGCGGGGACACCTCGGTGAACAAAATCCGAAAGCTCTGGCCCTCTCGGCGCCGGGATTTACTCTCCCCAGCCCCCTGCCTGGGCTCGGGGCCACTACTTTGCCAGAAGAGTCGGCCTCCCTGACTGCCCGGTCCGCCGGCCAGGGGGGTGACGCCTCGCACGGGATGCTGCCCCAGCACCGCCCTGGCCTGCGAGCCGCCCCCCGCCCCGGCCTCCCCTCGCTTCTTCCGACGGGCCTCGGCGCCGCTGCACCCGCCATTCCCTCTGCCCGACGCCCCCTTCCACTCGGGTCTCAGCCGCACGGGTCCCTGTCCAGGCTCAGGACCCGGCCGAGCACCGGCAGTCCGCACACCTCGGTGGGGTTTTTGACCTCATCAACCCGTCCCTGCACCCGCCCGGCCCCTGAGCCGCCTTGCGCCCTGCGGGACCCCAAACCAGCCACCAGAGGCCGCCGCACCCGGTAGGCCCCGCCGGCTCAGACGCCCCGCGCGCGCTGTGGCGAGGACAGCGGCTGCGAGGCAGTGCGCAAGCGCAACGGGTGGGGCGGGGCCGCGGCTGCGTTAACTCCCTCCGCGCCGGCCCGGGAGCTGTCCGCGCGGCGTGGCCCTTCGGAACGTGGCCAGCCAACCATCTGCCGGCCCCATGAAGCACGCACTCAGCCCCGGGTAGCCCCAGATATGTCCCCAGCGAGGGAGGTAGAGGAAGAGTCCCCGACACGGCTCGCCAGAAACGGCCCTGGCCCTTTAACACTCCTCTCGCTCGCTCCCATTGGCTGAGGCGCTTTACGTCATCGCCGCGCGCCCGACAGCGGCGCCTTCCCGCTCCCGAATCCTGACGCCAGAGCGGCGCCGGCCTTAGCGGCTGAGGACAGCGGGAGGAGGTTGCGGCGGCGGGAAGATGTAAGTTGGGGGAATCCGACCCCATCCGAGCTTCGGGGGCCGCCCGCAAAGCTCGGCGGGGCGCGTGGTTGGAGCCGGCCCGCTCCTCGGCCTCTCGGTAGGCCCAGCAGCCTGGCGGCGCGGCCTCGGCTGTGAGAAGAAAAGAGTGTGGCCCGGGGCGGGCGGAGTGGGAGGCGCCGAGGCCGCGGCCCGGAAGTGGTCGGGGCCGCGGCGGGCGGAAGGGCGCCTCAGACCGTCCCCCCTCTGCGGCGCGCCCGGCTAGGCCCGCGGGACTCAGAGCAGCCGGGAGCGCGGCGTCCGCCTTCGGGGCTCTGCGGCCGGCGTGGAGACCCGGGCCCGCCACGCCAGGCCCGGCGCCTGGCCGGGGGAGTTGTGAGTGAACGCGGACGGGGGCGGCGGGGCGGAGATGCTTTGTGGGGTGCGGTGGAGGACCGTGCCGTGGCCCGGGCGAGCCCCGGGGACGCGGCCGTTCCCTCTCCGTTCGCACGGCTGGTGCGGAAAACGCGCTCGGAAGCGGGGCAGTGCTCTGCCGCGGGGTGGGGGGGCCGGAGCGCCGCCGGCTCGGCGTGTAACTAACTGTTCTCTCTCTCTCCGGCTGTCGGACGCGCACCTTTCCGGAGGATGGGGGCGGTGACCGAGGCCCGGTGCGGTGACCCGAGCTTGTGCGAACAGAGCGCCTCGGTCTCTGCGGTCTAGCACGCGGCCACGCCCGGCAAAGCCCGCTCGCCCTGTGCTCCTTGACGCGTAGGGTTGGCGCATTCCGGTGGTGCTCGTGGGCGCGGGGGGCCGTGGGGCGCGGGGTGGGGCCCGGGAGTGTGTCCCGCGCGTCCGTGCCGCGCACCGGGGCCCCGCGAGCCTACCGGCCCGCGGCGATGTCCATGCCCCGCGCAGGTGTTGGAAGGGCCTGGTGCCGGGCGGGGGGGTGAGTGTCTGCCCTGGTTGGCGGTGGACGAGATGACCTGGGGCCCATGGGTGGGCAGATCTTCACCGAGCGCCAGCCGCATCCCTTAGCCTCCGTGCGCACCGTGGCTCCTGGGACATTCGGGATGTGCTGTGGCTCGCGCTGTTCCCGGGGACAGTGCTGCACTGGGTGAGCGCTCAGGAGGTCGTGCGGGACTTGGTCACAAGCGTTTGTGTGCGGGGAAAGCCTCCAGACACGGAGAAGCCTCCCTCTCTTTTGACACAAGCCATAACCGGGAGCCGGGTTGGGTAACCGAGGACATATGGGACCTGCAATTGTCCCTGTAACGCTCAGGAGGAGGGGGGCTCAGAAGGGTTCTGTGACTTACCCCAGGTCACACAGCAGAGCTTCGCATTAGACAGGCAGGCAGAGTCCGCGGATTCCTACCCTGAACTGTACTCCCTCGTCGTCCAAGGCCACTGACCTTGTCCGTCCAGTGTTGCTCAGTACCTGTGGGACCTTCCTGTTTTAAGGCAGAACATTTAGACATTAAACATTCCCCCCAGCCCCCCGGGGAAGAGCAGCAGAGGGGACTCTCTGCTTGCTTCTGCTCTCATTAGATCGCCCAGAGCTGGCCTGCCTTCTTGAGTCACCACCTTCTTGAGCATTCTGGGCACCCTTACCCCTGGGGAAACAGGATCCCAGGTGCTCGCTTGTCTGTGTTACGTACAGGCTGTCGAGGAAAACGAGGTAGAAGTGGTCGACACAGCCTCCCGGGGTCTTTGCCTGCAGCCCAGGCAGACTGTAGGAAACCTCACTGGAGATGCTGACGGTCGAAGACCCCCCAGGAGACAAGGCACAGAGCGGACTAGCAGTTGTCTCGAGGAGTATTACGGAGCACGCGCCGCAGTGTGGGTGCTCCGTTAGACCTTAGGAGCTGTGTCCTCGGGTTCCAGTGCCGCTTCACACACACTCACACACTCACTCACACGCACATTTTATTTGGGGGTAACATACAGAAAGGTCAAAAGAATTGCACAGCGGACCCCTGCATAACCACCACCAAGATCCTACAAGTCACGTTTCTGCCGTATTTGCTTTGTCCTATACCAAACCACCCACCAGTACGTTTCTGTTGCATTTTGAAGGGAACAGCAGACTTGGACGTATTTTTCCCATAACACTTCCATATGCAGCTCAGCATTGGCATTGACTGCTTTCTAACTTAACTATTTTACTGCTTTTTCAGTGTTCGTTTGGGACATTTTGTCTGCTTGCATTTGGGTGTTAAATGTTTTGATGCTGGTACCCGTCACTTTTGAAATGGGTTTTGCTTCCAGTCATCATATATCCAGTATGTCCTACAAGGAACTAGAACAAGAGATCTGACTACACCAGTAATCCTACCAGGAGAGCCAAGCTTGGCTTTTTTTCTCTTCTGCATGCAAATGTGGTGTTGCAGTATTTCTAAGGGGATCCTAGAGGGCTTATCAAATTAGGAGAGAAAAACAGGTAGTATGCCCCCTGTAACCTAACAGTGACAGGCACCGCCACTGTTTCCTTAAGGAAAAGACAACGAGGTGAGGTGAGGGTCTACTTGGGGGGGGGAGGTGGAGGGGATAGTCCCCAAGGAATTGGAAGTGGTCCCTGTATGTTCCTGGCTTTGTGGACGCTCGCTGCTCCCTGTGTTCCTTGCCATCTTCTCGTGTGCTCACCTTTTGACTGCAAAGTGGATTGTTGCCTTGCCAACTCGTTCACTCTGTAAATCCTTTTATCTTGTTATTAGGCTGCACTTTGGCGTAAATTGCAATCGATTAGGGATCGTTTCTCAGACTCGAGTTAGAAGTGAGAGTTCAGATAAGTGAGGCCACCATTGCTGCTTTGAACACCTCAGAAGGGGAGAATGGATTTATCAGGAGTGAAAAAGAAGAGCTTGCTAGGAGTCAAAGAAAATAATAAAAAGTCCAGCACTAGGTAATCCTTCTGTCAGACTTTTCTAGTGCTACTTTGGGGGTGCTCATGACTAGGGACCCTCAGAAAGGGGAAGAGCGGAAATGTCTTACATGTTACAGTGACGTGTCCTAAGCCACAGACCATTTTGCTCTGTGATCCCCTGGGATCTCGGTAGCCCTTGGGATCCCCTCTTTTGGGTAGTGTTGTCTCCGGGTTTGGCCAGAGGGGCATGCGGTCTCACACTCTTCCTTCGCCATCCAGGGCTCCTTCTCCTACCAAACGCAAAGACCGCTCTGATGAGAAGTCCAAGGATCGCGCGAAAGATAAAGGGGCCACCAAGGAGTCCAGCGAGAAGGACCGTGGCCGGGATAAGACTCGGAAGAGGCGCAGTGCGTCCAGCGGGAGCAGCAGCACCAGGTGGGAGCAGGCAGGGCGGGGCACCCAGCGGGCCCCTCTCCTGTGGCTGCGCCCATTTCCTTGCCAAAGGGCCGCGCGGGGTGCTCTGTGGCCTCACTGTTTACAAGAAAACACTTCGAGCTTGTTAATCAAGGCCCAAAGTACTCCAGACCAGTTTGGGTCTGCCCTTGTTGTCTGTGGAAAGTGGTGCTTGTTAAAGAAGGGGACGTTTTGGGTATATGTTTCTCTCAAGTACTTTTTCATTCATACTCATGATTGGATTACCTTAGCCTAAAGCTTATTTTTATTTGCGTTGAAAACCAGCCGGGGCTCCTGGGTGTCTCAGTGAGTTAAGCCTCTGCCTTCAGCTCGGGTCATGATCTCAGGGTCCTGGGATCAAGCCCCGCATCGGGCTCTCTGCTCAGCAGGGAGCCTGCTTCCTCCTCCCTCTCTCTGCCTGCCTCTCTGCCGACTTGTGATCTCTGTCTGTCAAATAAATAAATAAAATGTTTTTTAAAAAAAGAAGAAGAAGAAAAGAAAAACAGCCGGAATCCCTCAGCAGCCCCCTTCCAGGCTGGGTTGGCGCTACCCACCTGCCAAGCTGTATCCGTACTTCCCAGTAGGCAAAGCTTCCGGATCGCTAGGAAGTCACTCCTTCCTCTCCTGTCACTGCACAGTGTGAATGCTGTTTCCTTCCTGTCCCCACCGAGAGTTTTGGCTGGGGTTGGGGGGTAGATACCATCGCCTCTCCCTGAGGAGGGAGACATTGAGGCTTGAAAATAGGAGGACAGGCTCTTTTTAGAAGCCTGAGCATGTGCAGGCTCGTCTCGCGGGGAGAAACGCTGCCACCCTCTGTTGCCCGTGACACCTGCGTCTCGCTCATCAGGTCTCGCTCCAGCTCGACCTCCAGCTCGGGCTCCAGCACCAGCACAGGCTCCAGCAGCGGCTCAAGCTCTTCTTCCGCGTCCAGCCGCTCGGGAAGTTCCAGCACATCCCGCAGCTCCAGCTCCAGCAGCTCCTCTGGCTCGCCAAGCCCTTCTCGGCGCAGGCACGACAACAGGAGGCGTTCCCGCTCCAAGTAAGCTCCCTCGGGAGTGCCTCGGTCTGGGGGGGTTGCTCCCAAGTGTGTGAATTATCTGGGAACTTACTTAAGTTTGCAAACAGAGGGCTGTAACGTTACAGTCGCTGTAAAAGTAGATGTTGAGAGGAGGCCTCCTGAAGCAGAAGTAACGTGGGTATGCATGAGCCGGTAGAGAAAGTTCCACGTGAAACACTCACCGCGGCAGTTAGCGGCCCCACTGACAGAAATTTTGACTTGACAAATCGTTGCTGGTATTTTGTTTTTTCAATCAGATCCAAACCACCCAAGAGAGATGAGAAGGAAAGGAAAAGGCGGAGTCCTTCCCCTAAGCCCACCAAAGTGCACATAGGGAGGCTCACCAGGAATGTGACCAAGGTGAGTGAGGGTCCTGGCTCCACCCGGCGGACAGTAGGGCATCTCTTCTGCAGATAATTTAAATGGAAAGCTAGAGAAGCAGGCCTCAGCCGCAGGTGAACTGAGAACAGAGGCTCTCAGGACTGGCGGGATGTGGTGCGTCGAGCGGAGCAGTAACTCCTTCAGCGGGGCTGTTCTGTGGGAGAGAGACCTACCCTGGGTGCCCAGGTGTCGTCGTCGCAGGGGGACTTCTCAGCTCCCGAGGGGCAGTTGTGGGTGTGCCTCAGAGTGACCCTTCTTTCCTCTAGGACCACATCATGGAAATATTCTCCACCTATGGGAAAATTAAAATGATCGACATGCCTGTAGAAAGGATGCACCCCCACCTGTCGAAAGGCTACGCGTACGTGGAGTTCGAGAACCCCGATGAGGCCGAGAAGGCGCTGAAGCACATGGACGGAGGTGGGTGACCCTGCCGGCCCCCCGCCGGCTCCCGTCTCTGCTCCCTGTGCGGCACCAGCTGCCGGCCACGTGCAGGGACCTTAGAGCTGGTTTGCAGCCTGGAGGCACATTGCAGTCTCCCTGGAGCTCTCTTGGGTTCCGGTTCTTAACCAGGGGGTGTGTGTTTACTGAAAACAAGTTTTATGGGACATTGTTCTTGGAAAAAGATCAGCAGATATGAATACATTAGCATTTTGAGGGTTTTCCAATCTGTGAAAGCTTAAGGAGGAAATGAAGGGGTTTTTTGTTTTGCTTTGTTTTTAATAAAGACTGCATTATGAGTGAGTAATGAAGCATTTGGCTTTTTATACGGGAGTGTTTCCTTCCGTTTTCTCGGAGAGTTGTTTTCTATTGTACCAGCATTTCAGCATTTTTAGGATTACTTTGTTGGATCCACACATTTTACCCATTTCCTTAAAGCTTGTATCTTAACCGTTGGTGACACTTGTAGCTGTTCTGTCGGGTGCAGAATGGTTGTAACCGCACCTGAGCACCCGTGAGTAGTTTTGGACGGCCACTTGTTTCGTCTTCAAGTCCGTGTTTTAAGGAGCTTGGAACTTGTCTCTGCCCCAGCTTGCTGCTGTTGTAATCTGGACAAGCAGGGCCAAGAGCCAGGACTGCCTGGAGCACGCTGTGGGCTGCCAGGCCGCCTAGGGAGGAGGGTCTGAGCACCCCAGAACCTTGGAGGCCCCGTTACACAGGCAGAAGAACAAGCGCAGCAGTTCGATGGGTAGCTGCCCTCGAGCCTTGGTAGAGGTGGATGTTAGGACACTTTACTTCCACTAAGCTAACTCTCTTTCAGTCGACTTAAATACACTGTGGCCCCCCGGGCTCCACACAGCAGTTCTTGACCTTGTGAGTCACACCTTTGTTTTGGAGATCTTCAGTCACACGTCTTTCAGAGTTCGAGCACTTGCTAAAAACCCAGGGACACTGGCCACGTGCAGGCTGTGCACGGCCGTACATATTCCACGTACTTTAAGCCTCCGGTAGGCCTCGAGTATGTGTCCACTATGTGCTGTGCACCGTGAATGGGGGCGCTGGCCAGATGGGTCCTCACCGCAGATGGTCAGTGCCTGTGAAGTTCCTGATTTGGGCTGGCTTTGGCTGTGGGGGGTGTTAGGCTACATTTAGTTAAGTCTTTTGAGTGTGTTCTGAACACAGGTTCACATGCCTAAGTTATTCCCTCAATACCTTTGCTATCTCCTTGACAGTAGGAATTGAGAAGATAAAAGAACCCTCCACCCTTTAGAGGCACACGGGCCTGTGCTCGGTGCCCTGAGCAGTCCCTGGACTGGGGTCAGTGTGCGTGCTCCCCTGGGGTTCCTTGCCTTTCTTCGCTCTTTCTTTTTCTGAGGCCCCAAAGATTCTCCGGCTTCCGTCCTCACTGTTCTCCTTCAGTTGCATTCACACGCCTCGTGTTTTGGTCTGAGGCACTTTTTCCAAACCCTTAAGACAGACTTGACAGCTGGACCCTGTTTTATTTTGTTTCCGCACCCCCAGAAGTCTTTTCTTCCTCCTGAGCTATGATGCGTTCATAGCTCATGCAGAAATGTGGGTGCCGCTCGTCCCTGCCCCTGCCTCCACCGCCAAGCTCTTTTGGTGTGGTGGCCTAGTTACGGTGCCCTTGTGGGGGCCCAGCACCCTGAGGCCACCTTCTGGTCTCCTGGGAGGTACCAGGTGAGGGGGCTTTTACAGCACGAGAGAGGACCAGGCTACCTGGTTGGAGGCTACCTCTTCAAGGGCAATCTTTTTTGAGTTCTTAAACTTCACCCCCCACCTCAGTCCTACGGAGCCCCCAGAATGTCCCCACTCCCCTTGCTGGTCCCCTCCCATTGTTTGGAGGATTAAGTTCAGGGTCAGAGCACAGTTCTCCCCTCATTGGATGGATTCGGGTGTTCCCTTAGGTGCTGCTTCCTCTTGGAGGTAGTTGTGCTTCAGGTGCCCTGGGCATCCAGGTGGAGTTCCCAGTGAGGGTCCGTGCTCCCCTGCAGACTTCCTGATGAAACCTCCAGTAGTAGTAACTGTCCTATTTCCGTGACGAGTTTCGTTCCCCTGTCCTTGCTTACCACGCTAGGCCCACAGCTGGCACGGGCTGGCCTAGGCTGTAAGGGCTTGTCCGATATTGTGTGACTTGAGCCCTTTTTCAACAGGACAAATAGATGGCCAGGAGATCACTGCCACTGCTGTGCTGGCCCCCTGGCCGAGGCCACCCCCCCGGCGATTCAGCCCTCCTAGGAGAATGCTGCCACCACCTCCCATGTGGCGTCGGTCACCCCCGCGGATGAGAAGAAGGTGGGTCGGTTTGGAGTCCTACAGGGCATTGCTTGGGGCCGGTGTAGACTTGTTCATTTTCAAACACTGTGATGGTGAGGTAGACCTCGCTCAGCCCTGCCCACCCCCATGCTCCACGCAGGGCTCATGCTGTCCGTCCCAGTGGGGGAAGGGGGAGCAGGGCTGCTGCTGGAGGGAGGGGCGGGCCCCAGGTATAGCCCTGCATGTCACACCAGTAGTCCCTGGAGTGCAGTTCCTCTTCCCCTCCTTAGCCAAGAAGACAGGAAGGGTAGGGTGCGCGGCTGGCTCAGTCGGAGAAGCGTGGGACGCTTGGTTTTGGGGTTGCGGGTTCAAGCCCCACATTTGTATAGAAATTACTTAAATAAGCAAACGTTAAAACACACACACACACACACACACACGCACAGGAAGGGTCAGGAAAGGGGTCTCCACAGCACACACCCTGTTCCTTCCCAGCGGCTCGGTGTCGGTGCCATCAAGAGAGCCCTTCTGACTCTCAGCATGGAAACGTGAAACCTTACAGGATTGTTTCTTCAAGAAGCCAGCTTTGCCCCTGCTGTCCGGGACATTGGCCTCCGTGTCTCATGTGGTCTTTCCTCTTCCCGCAGGTCCCGCTCCCCAAGGCGCAGGTCCCCTGTGCGCCGGCGATCTCGCTCCCCCGGCCGCCGCCGCCACAGGAGCCGCTCCAGCTCCAACTCCTCCCGATAAGCAGGGCCCCCGGAGCTCTGCGCCCTGTGACTTCGATCCCATCCACTTGTTTTGTCACTTCTCTAGCCAGAGGAGGGTTGGTAGGAAAGAAATCCTCACTCAGGGCGGGCTTCAGAGACAGCAGCTGAGACGGCTCCTCTGACGCAGACTCCCGGGGGAGCGTCGGCGGTTCGGGTCGTGCCTATAAGAATGCCCTCCAGTTTCTGGCTAGGAAGCTCCCCTGTTTCCCGTTCCTAAGAGAGTCCCTCCGGTGGCCACGCCAGCAGGGACAAAGCAGGGCTGCAGGTGGTAGCGTGGCTCCAGCCTGGGTGTGGGGCACCTGTTTCATTCCCACAAATGCCTGGAGGCTGGGCTGGAGGCCTGGTCCTGCCCTCGGGTGGTGGTCTGCAGGCTCGCTCGGGTGCAGCTGCTGCTCCTGCTCCCCTGCTCAGGTCCTCGTCCGACACCTAGGGTCCACCAGCCCACGTTAGTTCCCGGAGATGCTTCTGTGTCCACGCATACTCACGCACACCGCCACACCCCCTCATCTCTCTGTCATCACAGACCCGCCCCCCCACCCCCGCCACAGCTCTTAACGGTGGTCTTGCGGGTTACGTTGGCAACATGTACATTACTTTTTTTGGCTTTTATTGTACAGTCAGTACTATAAATTTGTTGTTTCGAGTTTTGTAACTTGTAGCATTTTAGGCGCTGTTGTGTTTGTACTTTGTTGTGTAGAGTGAAGGGATTGTGTTGAATAAACAGGATTAGAGTTCGGAGGAGTCCTGGCTTCACCACCTCTTTCATCCTTGGCTGCAGAGACAGCTTGAGCTGCAGGCGAGTGACAACACATGACTACGTTCGAGTTTGGTTCCAGGGTCACACCTCCAGGCTGGGCAGGCCAGCTGTGTGGGGCGCCGGGCCACTGCCGCAGGAGACACGGAGCACGAGAGTTCGTCGCCTGTGTGCTCCCAGGAGCTCCGAGCTCTGTGGAACGGACACGCGGACCGGTGTGCCGCCACTCAGCCACGCCTCTGTTCTTTCAGGGACGATGCGGAAACTCTTCAGATGTTAAAAACTGAAGTCTCAGTCACTCTGTGCAGACTGGATGGTCGGAGCAAGGCCGTGTCCTGTGAGGTAGCACACAGGCCGCCTGCTCCTCCCAGCTCATCCTGCCACCAGGCCAGGGGCCACCTGTGTTTCTTGGGACCCTGCCAGGGCCTCCTTGAAGGATGGAGCAAATAAACATCTTGTTTCCTTTGCTCTCCTGTGGCGGGGAGGGCACTGCAGTCCGGCCAGGAGCGTGTGGGCACCTGCTGCCCAGCTTCGGAAGAGGGAGGTGGATGGGCAGCTCTTAGTCCCCTATGCCTGCCTGGACCACCAGCTTGATGACTGTGCCCCCTCCCCAAGTACTTGAGGCAGCCCCCGGAAGCCCCGCGGCTTAGAGCCCCAACAACAGCCTTGGTGTCATCTGGTTGCCTTTGCTGCTCAGTAGCTGGGACTTCCCCAAAGCCCCTTGTCGCTGCCTAAACTCACAAACCTCGGGGACTCCGGGCGGCCAGCCGCGGTCTCAGCAGTGCTGCCCCACGGACTTGATCTTGGCCCCGACAGCCCAGGAAGTGAGCTCACTTCCCCATGTGCCACTGAGGCGCAGCACCGGGTCCACCGGCCAGTGTGGGGAATAGCCTGGCCCACACCCGCTTCCGGACCATGGGCTCAGAGGAGCGTTGCGACCTTGACATCCTGGGAGCCAAGTGGGGCGGTTGCGACCTTGGCGTCCTGCGAGCCGAGTGGGGCGGGGCTGCGGGCGCAGGGCTCCTGGGAGGGGCGGGCCGCAAGGGCGGGGCTAGGCGTGGACCCGGGCGGGCTGCGACCCCAACCCGGCAGGTCAAGATGGCGCTGGCGGTGGGAATGCGCGTCCTGACGCGTTCCCTGCTGCGACCCTGTGCGTGACAGGGGGGCGGCCGGGGGGAGCGGGGGGTCGTGGGCGGGGGAGGGGCTCGGGGACAGGGAGGAGGCCCGGGGTTCGGCGGTGCGGGTCGCGGCCAGAGGGCGGCGAGGCTAACAGGCCTCACGCTGTCGTTCGCAGGGGTGCGTGTCCCCGGGACGGCCCCCGGGCGGACGGGGCCGGCGGCCGGCGGCGGGGACGGCGTGCGGTGCTTCGGGAGCCCGCGGGTGCTGGTGGAGCCTGACCCGGCGGCAGGTAAGCGCGCCCGGGGCCGCAGGTCCGGGCCAGCGCGGCGCAGCCTCCCGCGGCTTCCCGGGCTCCCGGGGGCCTCTGGACGCCCACGGGCCACGATACAACCCGGTGCTGAGCACATTTCTGTTGCATTCGGATCTTGAGGGACCTCAGTGTAGGTGGTTTACGTACGGCTTCCCCCCCGTTTTTGTCCATTTTAGTTAGGGCGTGTGCACGTGCGGGGGGCGGGGGGCGCGAATCCCAAGACGACTCCCAGCTGAGCTGGACCCCGGGACACATGAGCTGAGCGGAAGCTAGAGTCCTGCGCTCGCGGACTGAGCGCCCCCCGCCAAGTCACTGTGCAGTTTAAAAGGCTTGAGTTAGTGAAGTTTGACGGCTGTGCCCTCTATCTAAACTATTGAATTGGAAACTAGAGGCCGCCTGGGTGGCCCAGGTTCAGCATCTGCCTTCCGCTCCGCCGGTGATCCCAGCGTCTGGAATGGGTTCCCCAGGTAAGCCTCCAGGCTCCTTGGGAGCCTGCTTCTCCCTCTGCCCCTCCCCCAGCTCATGCTCCCTTTCTCTGTGTCAAATAAGATCTAAAAAAAGAAAAAAAAGAAAAAGAATTGGAAGTATTTTGGAATAAAATATTTTAGTGTTTTTTCCTTAACCCTCACCATGGCACAGAGCCTAACAGCCGTTTTACTAAAGAAAGCGGGGCCACAGTGCAGTCCCTGTTCACCCACCCCTGGCTCCCATCAGAGCAGCTCTTACACCTGCAGCGGGGACAGAGAAGGTAGAAAAAGCACCGTTCAGAGAGAAACTTAGGTTTCCTCTAAGTAAGAAGGCTCCCACGTTGGGACGTGAAAAGGCCTGTCCTCGGAGATGGGCATGGTTAGGGCGCGCCGGCCGGGCTTAAGGCCTCAGGCTTTTGCAGAGGCCTGGTGCTGGGGGCTGGGGCGGCCGCCAGTTGCAGCCTCAGCCCCTCTCTCTGCCCCGGCTCAGGGGCGTACCCTGGGACAGCCAGGTTCACCCAAATTCCTCTTCCTTAACGCATGTTCATCTTTGGCCTATTTACCTTTCCTCTGTGGCCTCGATTCTGCTAGAGCAGGCCCTATGGAAACCCACTCACCCTCAGGATGCCCCAGAGGCCCTGGTGGTTAAGCGCCCAACTCTGGATTTCAGCACCGGCCCTGATCTCAGACTCACTCCGCACTGGGCTCCATGCTGGGCACAGAGTCTCTCCCTCTGCCCTTTCCTGTTGGGTGTGGTCAGCAAACCCAGAGACAGCGAATGAAAAGATGACCCCAGACGCCAGAGCAGGAGGAAGGAGAGGGCGACGGGACCAGACGCTCTAGTGGGGAAGGGTCTCAAGCCAAGCTCTGTCCACAGTGTTACTGTGAGTCTTAAACGCACACCTGGCAGGAGGACGTAGCTGTAACCATGGGGACAGCAGTGTGTGGGGCAGCGGGTGGGGGGAGAGCCTGGGTGCTGGGCCCGGAGGTCATGAGGGCAGTGACCGCCGCAGGTGCCTGCGATTCACTCCCTGGATGGGAGCTTTGAAGCACAGTAGGAGTCTGGCCTCGCTCAGCCAGGGAGCTTGTTGGAAGCAGGCCCAGTGTTCCGGGCCCTCCTCCTCTGCTTTTCAGTTTGTCTTGTCCAGGGAGGCATGGAGAAGTCCGATTTGTCTTCTCCAGACGCTGTGAATGCGCACACCTCCCCACCCCCTCATCTTCCCCCCACCGCCCACACTCCTGCACTCTCCAGAAAGAAAAAACCCAGTGAGCCTCAGAAACTGCTCTGAGCCCAGTTCAGAAACTTGCTTCTGGGCACACCGATTGCTGCTTCCTCCGGTCACACCGGTGTGTACAGAAGTTAGTAAGAAGTACTCCTCATCAGACGCCTCCAGGGAGCCCATTTGCCTCCAGGACTTAGTCGTCAGTCAGGAGTGAACGGTGGTGGCCTTTCTGTGGCCCATGGGGTCTGTCGTCGGGCAGGCAGTGAGCACGCAGGGGCCCAGCCAGCGGAGCCAGCAGCCACCGGTGGACGAGTGAGCACCGGGGACAGCTCCACATCTGGCCACCCATGTTTGTGGCCTCTGACTGTAAACAAGCATGAACGAGAGCACCCTGAGCGAGTTCTCCTTGCACACCCGGTCTGAGAGTTTGCTCACTCACCTCCCCGCCAAGAAACTCAGGCCGTTTGCTCCTCCCAGGGATGGAGCACTTGCACCTGGCAGGAAAGGATGAGCAGAGCTTGGTGCACAAACATTCACAGCAGCGTGGTTCCCAAGAGCCAAAAGGCAGAACCAAGCCACGTGTCCCTCCGCCCATGCGTGGATGCACAGAGTGGGGTCGCCACGCTGCGGCTCGGGTCAGCCTTGAGAGCACGGTGCTCTGGGAAAGCAGCCAGACAGGAGAGCTCACAGATTGGACGCTTCCCTTCCTAGGAGATGGCCAGGACAGATGAGTCCGTAGGCACAGAAACCATCGGCTGCAAGGAGCTGGGCGGGGCGGGGTCGGTGACCACTGATGGGCGCAGTGTCCTCTCTTCTGGATAGACCCACTCTGCAGCTAGATGGTGGTGGTCGTGCGGCACTGCCGGTCGCTAACGACCCGAGTGGTCCGCTTTTAAATGGTGAAACTCTATTGGGTGGACCTGGCCGTGGCCAGGCCGAGGGTGCAGGCTGAATGGGTGTGCTCCTCTGGGACTGGCGTGAGCTCTGCCCCCTTCGCGTTCACACTAGGGTTCGCTGTGATGAAGATGAGGAACCCGCCCGTGAACAGCCTCAGCCTGGAGTTCCTGACCGAGCTGCTCATCGGCCTGGAGAAGCTGGAGAGCGACAAGGCCTTCCACGCCATCATCCTCACGTCGGTGGGTTCTCATTAGCTGCCCGAGTTCGGGCTCCAAGCTTGGGCGCCGGCTGCTCAGCACGTGCGTGTCCCCCAGTAGAAGCGCCTCCCTGTCACACAGCCCCGGGAGACGGTCTCGGCTCTGCCGTTGTGAAAGGCAGGTGGTCCCGGCTTCTGCAGCCAAGGCTGGGAGCGTCCTCGGGTGTGCATCTGCTTCCCTTAAACCCTGGGGTTGTGCCAGGTGTGGCCCGGAGCGGTCGCCGCTCTGAACGGGTGGGGCTCGCGCGTCGATGCGCACCGCCGCTGGGAGCCAGGGGCCAGGGTTTGCCGAGCCTTGGCCTGCGGAGGAGAGGGCTCCTCCGTGCTGGTTCCCAGCGGGGATGCCTGGGACGGCTGCGGTGGACCCGCCTGGACACGTTGTACGTGCCTGGGAACGTTGTGCTCCAGATGATTTCTGGAAATGTTCCATTTAGGGTGTAGTTTGAGAGCGTGCTGCTTTTTCTCTCGTGCCCTGAGGCCGAGAGTGCCGCAGAGACAGGCATCTGTCCCTCTGCTTCCCCGGCTTCACGGTGGTGCCAAGCTAGTGGGGGTGGGGAATGGTGCCGGCCTGCGTCCCTCGGGAGCCCACGTGTTCTGCCCGCAAATGGGTCAGCGTTGTGCTCTAGGCTGTGTGTCCACTGAGTCCTGAGCAGGGGCCTGTCCCGTGGGCCCGCGACAGGCGGTGGCCTGCGACAGGCCTGCTGCTGCGGGGTTATGGGGACGCGGAACTGCGGGCCGCAGGCTTGGGTGCACAGTCCCAGTGGCGCATTCTCTCCTGGGGCTCCCTCTTCGCTTCCTCCAGCTGCTGGGGGGTCCCGGGACTCCTGTCCTCCCGCCTCTCCTGCCCTGTGTCTCTCTGTCCAAATGTCCCTCCCCTTAGAAGGACCCCTGCTCTCCTGTGACTGCCTGTTGATCACAGCGGCCAAGACCCTGTTTCCGAAGACAGTCACGTTCGTAGGTCCTGGGGGTAAAGTCGGGTCTACGTCTTTTTCCAAGACACGGTTGGGCCCACCGGAGACTGTTGGCGGAGTCTCCGAAGTCTCACCGTCATGGTCAGGGTGCAGAGCGCGTCCCCCGCTAGGACGACGGTGCCTTGTGTCGCGGCCGCAGTGGCGCTCTTCACCTTCACTTTCCCCGAGCGCGAGGATGTGGGCCGGCTTCCGTGGGGCTAGGCCGTGCCAGGGACACAGGGCTATGGCGGGGACCTCGGCAGGGCAGGACCCAGCGCAGGGACGTCCGAAAGAGGCAGCCACACCTGTGTGGCCTTGCCAGGCCGCGGCGAAACATAAGCCGGGGACCCGAGAGGGTGGCTTCCAGGGGCGGCACAGGGGCTACAAGGAATCTCATCCAGCACCCTACACGCAGCCTGCTCCTGTCGCTTGGCACGAGGATGCGGGGACGGTGCCTGTGACTCTCCCGTACTCCACCTGTCCCCTGACTCCATGGAGACAGACACGTGGCCGTTGGCCCATTCATGGAGCAGGGACAGGGCATGCCGGCCCCTAGACCCCCCAGCTCCGGCCACGGCCACGGGAGCGTCTCGTTCTTGTTCAGGGACATTGTGACTCCACTTGGGGGAGCCCCACAAGTGCGCTTTTCCCGTGATGACTGCTCAGTCACCCTACTCCCTCCCCCCGCCCAGCCTTCTGGGCCAACAGGTCTTTGCTGGAAAGCACCACCGCCGTCCCCTATCCCAGCTGCGTCTGCTGGTGCACGTTTGCTTTCCTCCCTGCTCCAGGGGTTTTGTCACCACCGGGGCAGCTGCACAGGACCCACGCCTTCTCGGCCACTCCCCAGCATTTGTCTTGTGTGACAGCCCAGGGCAGAGGTCTGGCTTCCTGGTTCATCGTGGTCCCTTCCCTGCCTTGCTGTGTTGTCACAGCAGCCCCTCCCGGCCTGCCTTGCCATCTGTAGCTGGCTCGACCTTGGGGGCCATCAGAACATGGGCCCTGAGGCCCCAGCTCGCCACCCCGGGGAACACAACCTCGGCCCCACCGCCTCTGGAGTGCCTGTGGGCCCTGGGGACCTGCTGCTGGCAGGGGATGGACTCTGACAGGTCCCCTGGCTCCTTTGCCCCCAGGACTGCCCCGGCATCTTCTCCGCCGGCCTGGACCTGACGGAGATGTGCGGGAGGGACCCCACGCACTACGCTGAGTACTGGAAGGCGGTGCAGGAGCTGTGGCTGCGGTTCTACCTGTCCCATCTGGTGGTGATCTCGGCTATCAACGTGAGTGTCCCCGCGCCCTGGCCACCTCGCTCACTAACCAGGGGCTGGGGGAGACCCTCCGAGGCGCACAGGTCAGCATGACCAGGTGACAAGGGCAGGGGCACAAGGACGGGATCAGATTCATCTTTGGAAACACGGCTTTGGCCTGGCCTGGGGAGGGCAGGGGCTGCTCAGGCTCAGAAAGCCGCGAGCCTGACAACACGGGGGTCCAGTTAGGTGCAGAAGGATCTGAGCTGGCGAACGGGAAGGTTGGCGAGCTGGAGACTCCACAGGGTGCAGGACAACGGGCAGCAGCTCGCTGTCTCTGAGGCCGTGGGGTGCGTGAGATGAGGGCAGTGGAAGTCTGGGGTTCCTGGGACGTCCTGCTGGGGATGGAGATGGGTCCTGTGTGGCGGGACATGTCATGGCCGCTTCGGCTAAGTACTTGTCAGTGTTTTGGCATCCCAGCAAAAGCCGTGAAAATAGGGCGCCTGGGTGGCTCAGTGGGTTAAAGCCTCTGCCTTCGGCTCAGGTCATGATCTCAGGGTCCTGGGATCGAGCCCCGCATCGGGCTCTCTGCTCAGCAGGGAGCCTGCTTTCCTCTCTCTCTCTCTCTGCCTGCCTCTCTGCCTGCTTGTGATCTCTGTCTGTCAAATAAATAAATAAAGTCTTTAAAAAAAAAAAAAAAAGCCGTGAAAATAAAGGCGGCTTGCAACCCTGATAGGAGGGTTCTGGGCAGCGTGATTCTCTGGCCCCAAGAGCCGCTGGCCAAGCCCGAGGGCCCATCGTGCCCGCCCAGCCCAGCCGTTGTGGGCACAGCGCTGTGGGCTGGGGGGTTGGGGGGTGGATCTTCCCTGGGACCTGCCTCTCCGGGACACCCCCACACCCCGCAACGGGGACAGCACGCACAGCCAGGTGGCGTCTCTTCTTCCACAGGGAGTCAGCCCCGCTGGGGGCTGCCTGTTGGCCCTCTCCTCTGACTACCGGGTCCTGGCTGACAACCCCAAGTACGCCATCGGGCTGAACGAGACTCTGCTGGGCATCATCGCCCCCTTCTGGTAAGGCTGGAGGCTGCGCCCGCACTGCCCTAGCACAGGGCCCAGCCCGGCCCCTGGGAGCCCCCAGCAAGCGGATGTGTTGCAGGTTTAAAGACACGCTGGTGAACACTGTCGGGCACCGCACCGCGGAGCGTGCCCTGCAGCTGGGCCTGCTCTTCCCGCCCACGGAGGCACTCCAGGTGGGCATGGTGGACCAGGTTGTGCCCGAAGACCAGGTGCAGAGCGTGGCGCGGTCGGTGCTGTCCCAGTGGCTGGCCGTCCCCGGTGAGGAGCTCAGGGAGGGGCTGTTTGGCGGGCGGGCGGGCAAAGCCAGCAGCCCCCCAGCCTGGGGCTCCTGGTGAGAGCAGGGGCTTCTGCTGGAAGGGGGTCGTGTGCACGTCAGAAGCGTGCGTCTGTGACGCAGACCAACTTAGCCCTGCGGCCACTGCATCAAATCAGCACACGGTGGGCAACGCGGGGGAGTGGGGAGGCGCGTAGAACCCCGTGGTGCATTCCCTCCAAGTCTGCAGGCCAGGAGTCTAAAATCCAGGTTCGGGCAGGGCGGTAGGGCTGTAGGGAAGGCTCCTTCCCACCGCATCCAGACTGGCGGCTCCACACTCTCCTCGGCCTGTCGCTTTCCCTCCACGTGGCCTCCCCGCATGTCTGTGTCTCCGGTCTCCCCTCTTCCCCTCTCTGGTCAGGACACTGTTGCTGGATGTGGGGCCCACCCTGACTTCATCCACAGAAACCCTTTTCCAAATAAGGTCCCGTGCACAGACTCTAGGGCACTGGTTAGGTTTGCCCTCCAACCCGCTGCACAGGCTGTCGGAGACGGGCCGCGTGTCTGTCGGTAGGAACCAGGCTGGTTGTATCCGCTCTGATGGAGACCACGGGTGAGATGGCTGGCCCTGTGGGTCCCTCGGTCACAGCCATACCGTGATGCTGGAACCCAAGGGCATCCAAAGAGTTTGTGACCCAGCAAGCGCGTCTGTTTGCAATGAAACAGGCCGCTGATGCTTAAAGTGCGTATCATTTTTACGTGCCACAAAACGTCCTTTTTTCAATCCCAAAACCGTGTAAAAACCATTCTTAGCTCCCTGTGGGGGGCCAGGCTCGCTGACCCAACCGTGGGGAGAACGAGTACTTAGTGATGTGGAAGGTACCCCTGTGTTACGGGGGGCGGTGAGCACCACGGGGTAAGCGGCGGTTTCCACAGGGTCACCCCCTGTGCTTCTGACGGGGAGGTGGGGAGCGGCTGGTGCTCGCCTTGCCTCTGCTGGGCGCTCTGGGAAAGGGGAGTGGGGCGGCGTGTGGGAGGGCGCCTTCACGTTCGGGCCCTTTCCCCGTAGGCCACGCCCGGCAGCTGACCAAGAGCCTGATGCGCAAGCCCACAGCCGACCGCCTGCTCAAGGAGCGCGACGCGGACATCGAGAACTTCGTCCGCTTCATCTCCAGAGACGCCATCCAGAAGGCCCTGCGCATCTACTTAGAGAAGCTCAAACAGAAGAAAAGCTAAGGGCGGGGCTGCCTGCCCGGGGCTTGTGGCCGGATGCGCCCCCGGGGCCCTCGGGGCCCTTGGATTCCGAGCGGTTTTAAACAAGCTGTTTTCCAGTGTAAACGTGCTGCCAGCTTCGTTTGCGGATCATCTCAGTAGGCCCTGTTCCCTGTAGCCAGGGTCCCAAGGGCGCACTGCCCCCCACAAGCACCTTTTCTGCCTGGCAGGTGGGCAGGGCCTCAGTTTGGGAATCCTGAACCGGCAGGCCGGGCCATTCTGGACCTCGGTGACAATCACCGCTGAGTGTCCCCTTTGCCAGAGCAGAAGTGGGAGCAAAGTCCTTGCGTGATCCCATCCTTGGCTACCCAAATGCCTGACTGCTGGGGGCGCACCCCTAGGCCGGTGACCCCCAGAGGACCCCCCCAGAGGAAAGCCCTTTGGCCGCCACATCTGCCCATTGAGGCGGAGGGAACACAGTGGTCCAGAGACTAGGGGGAGGGGGTGTGGTGAGGGGCAGGGAAGGTAGACTTAGGGAGTCTGTCTGTGCTGCAGGACCCGCAGTCTGTCTGTGGAAAGATCACACCAGATTTGTCCAGACTCTTAAAGGTTTTTCCTCCATACAGTTCAGGCCACTTCCCAGACCCACCACCAAGAGGAGTTGTTTCCAAAACCAGAAGCCTCCCTGGGCCCCTGTCCCCTAGTTCTGCACATACCCAGTCCCCAGGCGACGGGCTTCCCGGGGTACTGGCCACGGTTCTCCCTGACAAGCCCTTGGCCAGCCCCGGGCTCCCGAGAAGGACCCTACCCAGGCTGGCCCCATGAAGGGGCTCTGCATCCACGTGGGGTGTGTGGGTGGCCCCTGCCTGGGCTGCGTGAGGAGTCCAGCCTGCTCACCACTGAAGGGCTCCCTGCATGTCGCAGGGCTGCCTACTCGCCGGGGGCTCCTGACTGCCTGTTCCTGCGTTACTGCACAGGACCCCTCATGTGCAGGTGTCTGCAAGTCTGCAGGCCCCCGGGATTGGGGGGCGGGAGGGACACCAGGGGCTGGGAGGTCGGCCTTGCACGTCAATACTGTGGCTGTGTGTTTACCCCAAGTCCCCTCAGCCGATGTTTGGAAGCATTTGTGGTCACTGCGATGAGAGGAAGCGACGGGCGTGTCGGAGCCAGCCTGGTCTGGGGGTCACCCGTTCCCAGCAGGGAGTGAAATGGCCAGGCCAGGCCGGCCCTGTCCCATAGGGGCAGGGACCCAGGGCCCACTGGGCTGTGGAACCAAAGTTTGGGCTTCAGAGGGTTCGAGTCCTAAGAAAGGACACGGAGGCCTTGAAGCCGACCAGCACGCGGTCCTGGCTAAGCGCCGGCTCGAGTTTATTGAGCACTGCCCTGTGCCCAGCGCTCTGCAGGCCACTCCTCACAAGCCTGGGAGGTAGACGGAGGAGCCCATTTCACAGATGGGCAAACAGACTGCGTGGTCCTGTGATGTTTCCTAGCCGCTCGTCTAGCCAGCTCTGCCCTCGGCCTTGCAGGAGGCTGGCCAGCTCCCCTAAGGAGTCCTGCAGGGCTGTTCTGGCCTGAGTCTGGAGGCCGCTTCCCGGACCAGGCCTTGAGGGTTTTCAGTGTGACTTCAGAGTCACCTCCACAGGAAAATGGTCACTGATAGCGAGGGCCTGGAGAGGAGGCGGAGCCTGAGCCCCCTGCTGGGCAGCCTGCCCTCCCTCCGGCCCCACCTAGGAAAATGAGCGCCCCCCTCACCGCCTCCACTGCCCACACCCCCATGCTGGCCAGGGGTGGAGCCCACTGTGCTGCCGCAGGTGGGCTGGGGCCCAGACTGGAGATCCCCCCCCACTCCCCCGAGAAGAGGCAAGGGCATCTTCTGCCATCCCAGACGGTCCCTTCAGCCAGAACTGAGCCTCTTAAGGGCTCTGTATTCTGGGGCGCTGGTGCAGGGAGGGGCGCGCCCCTGCCCTCCGCCAGGCACCCGCCCTCCTGCCCCTCCACCCCACCCCCAGCGCTCACCTGAGTCTGGTCCAGGCCGAACTCCTCCTGGAAGTTGTGCACGGCGGCCGACTGGGGCTTGAGGCTCCTGCGCAGGCGGGCGCCGCACGCCACGATCCGGTCGTAGGCGCAGTCCGAGTTGCCCACGGTGGTGTCGGCGCTGTCGGGGATGAGCCACTTGAAGACCTCGCTGCTGCGCAGGCGGACGGACGGCCAGTCGCGCTCCCGCACGTAGTTGCAGTCGGCGTTGAAGTCGCCCAGGAACAGTAAGTCCTGCGGGGACCGCGGAGCCAGGGTTGAGCCCACGCGCGCCCCGCACCCTCCCCGCGCAGCCCCCTCCCGCACACGCGCACCCTCCCCGCCCCGCTGGTGCGCACAGGGGCGGGGGCGGGCCTTACGTCCGTGCCCCATTTGTCGATCACGTCCAGGTACACGTCGTAGAGAGCATCGATCTCCGCCACGGCCCGATGCGGCGCCGCGTGCAGCGGGATGAGCACCAACTCCCCGGCAGCTGCGGGAGGCACGGGTCAGAGGCGGGGCCGGGGGGCGGGGGCGGCGGGGGCGGGGTTTCCCGGGGAGGAGGGGGCCTCACCCGAGCCGGGGGCAGAGAACTTGACCACGAACGGTTCACGGCTGAAGGCGTCCTCCGGGTCCGGGTACTGGTACGTGTCCACGACCGACACCGCGTCCTTCCTGGGGGAAGGAGGCGGGTGGGCGCGTCGAGCCGGCCCCTCCCGCCCCGCGTGCCTGGGCCCCGCCCCTCACCTGTAAACAAACAGGTACATTTCCTTGTACTGGTCCCGACCCAGGGGCTCGCTGCTCACGAAGCTGTACTTGTGCTTGGACACGCTGCAGAGACACGGGCCAGGCGCGGGGTCAAGGCACAGGGCCAGCCCCAGATCCGGGCCTGGACTCCGAACGCTGGGCACTCTCCACCCGCCCCTCCTTCCCACACCTGTTGATCTGCTCCATGAGAGCGGACACGGCGCTCAGGTCTGGGTCTCGCACCTCCTGCACCAGCGTGATGTCATAGCCAGCTAGGATCTGGGGGAGGGACGGGCAGGTGCGGGGTCGCGCGCGGTGGATTCTCCCCGGAGGCCCAGCTGCGGCCCCACCCCCGGTCCCTGGCCTCACTTGTGCAATGATGGTGCCGCAGGCCAGGTCCGTCACTTTGCTGTCACCAAAGCTCTGGATGTTGAAAGCTCCGATGCGCAGCGCGGCGGCCCCTGTGGCCCCCAGGGCCCAGAGCGCGGCCAGTAGGACCTGGGGCCCACCCATCGCGGAGAGCAGGTGGACTGGGAGGGACAGACGCGCTCCTGAGCGTGGACCTGGAGTCAGACACACCGAACTACCCTTCTGTGCCCCAGGCCTGGGGGACCGGCAAGGACCTGTGATTCAGAGGTCCAAGGAGGATCCTTCTCCTGCCTCTCCACCTCTCCCTAGGGGTGTGCTAGGTTTACCACGGCCATTCTACTCCTTGGGGAGACGGAGGCCCCAATAGAGAGATCCCACCCCCATCCAGGCTCCTGGTCAGCCCAGTCCCCAGACTCACCTGGGATGTGGATGGGGTGGTATTTGAGGCTCAGGATCAAGTTCAGGATCAAGGTCGGAGATCCAGGCTGGGGGTGTGTCTGGGGCAGGAGACCGATGCCTCAGGTTTGGTCGGGCAGGGATTGTAGGCCAGGGCCCAGGCGGGTATTTGAGGCCCTTGTCCAGGGAGGGGCTAGACTGCTCTGGCCCCACCCCCTCTGCAGAGATGGATGCTGGAACTGCTGGTTCCAGTTCCCGGGGAGAGCCCTGGGGGCAAGGTGGCAGGGGATCCACCCTGAGCTGCGCTGGCACGAAGACCGTCAGAAGCAGGACCCTGATGGCCCTGCCGCCTCTGCGAAACTGTGTCCGGACTGGACGAGAGGGCCGGCCACCCAAGGTCCAGCCCTTGTTCTTGTCCACGCACCCCCCGCCCCCAACTAGGTCACCCAGAATCTCTCTCCCTCAGGGGTGCCCCCTGAGAGAAGGCAGGCAGTCCATTCATTAAAGACCTTCCTGGTGGGTCTCCTGCTGCTTCTTCGTTGTCACCTCTGGATAAAATGTCATGGCTCCCGGGCCTCCCAGCCTGGTCCCCTGCCCGTGCACCCCCCCCAAACAGCCCCATGGTTGCAGGCTGTGAAGCAGCACCCCCTTCCACCCACCTCCACGGGGCTGCGGAAGACAGGGTCATGACTCCAGCTGGGCAGGGCGGCGGCAGCAGGCTGCCCGTCCACATGCCAGGGACACCCACGCACCCCGCGGCGCCCTAGCTCCAGTGCCAGCCCTGGGAGGGGTGGCCAGGCGCCTGAGTCTGCAGGGGGAGGGCAGGCGGGGGCCCCCAAGGGAAGCTGCCTGGGCAATGGCATCACAAGTGGCAGGTTTTCGTGTTTTATTGTAAAGCAACAAAAAACTATTTACACTCCCACGCCCGCTCTGAACACCTGAATTCTATGCCCCCTCTTCTGTGGCTCCTTGCCCCTGCCCCGGCTCAGGAGCCTGCGGGCCGCCGTGCTAGACGATAACTGTTTGGACCTCGAGCTGGCCCTCCGGTGACGCGATGACCAGCTCGCCCGCGTGCTCCAGGATCTCAATGTCCTCTGACGAAACCATAGTCACGGTGGCCTGCTCGGCGCCAGTGGCGCCCGCACGGGCCGTGAGCACAGTGCCCTCGCTGATGGCCGAGGCCAGCGTCATGGCCACCTGCTCTGTCAGGCTCTCGGGTGTAGCGATGGTGATGGTGTCGGCCGCAGCCGCCTCTGGGCCCAACCCTGCCTCCTGGTCCATGGTCACATTCTGCACGATGATCTGGTGCCCGGCGCTGGCCTGGTGCACGATTTGCTGCACCACCTTCATGATGTGGCTGTCCACCTGCGGCGGCAGGTGGCTCAGCAGGTGGCTGTGGGGCAGGCGCCAGGCCACCCCCTCCGGCCCTTCCCCTGGCCCCCACCTCCGTCTGGGTGCCCTCGATGATCTCCGCGGCTTCGTGGGTCTCTGCGTCATCCGCAGCGGTCTGGACGGGGGACAGAGGTCAGCCTGGCAGCTCCGAGCCCCAGCCCCACCCCAGCGGCCCCATACCCACCTCGATGATGTACTCCTGGGTGTCCGCCACCACGGACGAGAACTCCACCAGCACTGTGTGCGGGTCCTCGGCGAGCACGGTGGCGGCTGCCGTGGGGCTCTCCTCGGACACCAGCAGCTCCTCCACCTCCAGCAGGCAGCCCCCTGGAGGCGGGGGGCTTGGTCAGCAGCGCTGTGGCCCTCCCGGCCACCCCCACCACCACCCCCCGCCGCCGCTGCCAGCGGCCCTGACCTTTGGTGCGCAGGTGCCGGTTGAGCGTGCCGTGCTCCGCGAAGCCGCGGCCACACCTGTAACACTTGAACGGCTTCTCCCCCGTGTGGTGCCGCACGTGCCGCACCAGGGAGCCCTTCTCCCGGAAGCCTCTGCTGCAGAATGGGCACACGTGCGGCTTCTCCTCCAGGTGCGTCCGGAAGTGCACCTGCTGGGCGTTCTGTGGGGCCCCACCGTCAGCACCCACCTGGCCTCGGCCGCGGCTCAGTATGCGGCTCTCCCACCCCCGCCACGGGCTGAGGGAAAGGGCCCGGGCCGGGCGGGAGGGGCGAGGGGCTGCCTGGGGAAGGGGGCGCTGGGATCTGGCCCAGGACAGGGAAGCCCACGGATCACGGGGGTCAGGTGCCAGGGTCCCACCTTGGTCTTGTAGCACTTGCCACACTCGGGACACGGGTAGGGCCGCTCGTCGGAGTGGACACGCCGGTGGCCACGGACATGGGCGATGGTCTTGTAGAGCTTCCCACAGTCTCCACAGCGGAAGCGGCGCTCGCGCACGTGGACCTCCTGGTGCTTCTTGAGCAGGTAGGCCTTGGGGAAGGCCTTGCCGCACTGCACGCACGTGAATGGCCTTGGCCCTGGGGTTGCAGGCGAGGTCAGGCCAGGGCTGCCCCTCGAGGGCCCCCTGCCTGCTGACCGCCCAGGGACCAACCTTGCCTCCCACTATACACCCAAGGCCCATCTGCCGCCAGTGCCGCACCCCTGCCACCCCCATCCCCCACCCCGACACCCACCTGCATGGCCCCTTTTGTGGGCTTCCAGGGTGGCCGCCGTCGGGAAGGTCTCACTGCACTGAGGGCACGGGTGGGTCCTGGGCACAGTGGAAGCCCCACTGGCCACCTGCTGGGGGTGGGGGGTGGCCACAGCACGCTTCCAGCACCCACTGTGGGTGGGACCCCAGCAGTACCGAGGAGAACAGACCCATGGCAACCCCCACCCCCGTCCCACAAGCTCCATCATGAGCCCCAGGAAGGCAGCGAACAGGGACCAAAGTCCCTGCAGAAGGGGCTCGATTTTTCCACCACAGGGAACACAGCAGGGAGGCGGCCGCTGGCTGGGCCGGTGACCTTGTAGCCGGGGTCCAGCACCCCCCGAAGTACGCCGGCAGCGCAGGCACCTACTGTCTCCACGGGCTCCACCTCCAGCAGTGGCAGCTCTGGGGCACCATCTCCCAGGGTCTGGGGACTGGGTGCGGCGGGAGGGGCTGGCTCCAGGGCCCCCTCCTCTCCCGTGACACGCTCAAGGACAATGCCCGAGTTCTGCATGGCCTGCTGCAGCAGGTTCTCACGGCCACTCTCGCTGGAACAGGGCAGCTCCTCGGGGCCCGGGGGCTGTGGGCACACGGTCCCCACTTGTAGCCACTGCACAGGACAGACCCTGCGGGGCCCAGGGGAAACTGTGCGTACCCAGAAGAGCGCTTCAAGGAGCCCCACAGCCCGCGCTCCCCACCCTCACTCTTCCTGTCCCTTGCCCCTCGCTGTCCTCTGGCCACTGGGGTCCCGCCTCCAGACTGAGCACGAGGAAGGCAGGCCGGGTCGGTCCTGTTCCCACTGGAGCCAGTCACCAGAACAGAGCCTGGCAGTGGGCAGACAGAGGCCACTCCCCGGGCTGGCCCGCACCTCTGCAGCCAGGCCTTTCATGCCCAGGGGCAGCTCTTGCATCTGGACGTGGACTTCATGGATGACCGTGCCCTTGGCATCTGTCACCAGATGAATCACAGGCGAGGTCTCCATAGGTTCTCCCGACACTGATGAAGATGGGACCGTCCCCATGGTGGAGGAGCCAGACCCTTCAAGGCAGAAGCCAAAGAACTTTGAAAAAGCCCGCCCAGCAGGGTGGCCCCCAGGCCAGCGCCCAGGGTCAGGGCAGGGGGTCCCTACCTCGCTGGGCTGCGGGCGCGTCCTCCTTGCCGACAAGCACATCCTTGCTCATGCTGAAGCGGATTTTCTCTGTGCACGGGGTGAGAGACTTGAGGTGCCGGGTCAGTGCACCCGACTCCCGGAAGCTCTTCCCACACTTGGCACACTTATAGGGGCGCTCATCTGTGGAGAGAACTGAGTCGGCTCCAGGCAGGGCCGGCGGGCCCAGAGCCACAGCCTCACGGCCCCAGGTCCCCGCCTGGCTCACCCGTGTGCCGCCGGTGGTGCCGGATGAGTGAGCCCTTGGTCCGGAAGGAGGCCCCGCACAGCTTGCACTCGTGGTCCTTGCGGCTACTGTGGGTCACCATGTGGGCCTTGAGGATGCTGCCCTGGGGGGGAGGGGACAGTGGGGCTCAGGCGCCGCTGGGGCAGGAGGGGGAGGCGGCCCGCCCGCACACAGCCCCGGGGCCCACCGTCTTGAAGGTCTTGTGGCACAGCACACACACGTAGCGGCCGTCCTCATTCACCAGCAGCTTCACCGGCGCCTGCTCGCCCTCCCCGCCGAGCACAGGCCCCCGACGGCCAGGGCTGCCCGGGGCTTCTGCCATCTCGCCGTCCCCCGGCTCTGCCTCGGCAGCCACGATGACCTCTTTGATGTGTCCGCCGCCTGAGGAGAGGCTGGTCAGCCCGAGCCACCTCGGATCCCTCGCTGGGAACACTGCCAGGCGGGCCGGGAGGAGGCAGTGCAGCTGTCCCGACCACCCTCTGGCCCCGGGGCCTGACACCTGTCCTGCCAGCCAGAGGCGCCTCGTCTGAGTCTGCAGAACCGCCGGCGTGACTCCAGGACCCCGGAGCGGTTGCAGCGAGAAGCCCCAGCATGAGCAATGGTGCCCCCTCCTAAGTCTAGGGGCACGGGACTAGATGTGGGCAGGGGTCCTGCTACGCCCGGGGACAAGTGAGTGCCAGCCTGGAGATGGGGGTGAGCCGTCTCCCCTGCTCACTGCCCCCGGGGATCGCCCGCTGTGGCTGGAGGCCGGGAGGGCCGGGGACACGTCTGGGGGCGCGAGCGCTCCTAGACACCTGGGACTGCCTGAGGGAGGAGGCCAGGCTTTGGCGCCTCTCACGGGTGATGAAGAGATGTTGACAACGTGCAAAGCTAAGCTGTAAACACGCTTCACAATTTCTGCTCCTAAAAATGACGTGTGGGGACCGGCTGTAAAGCCA